GCACAGCTGCTTCTCAAATTACTGCTACAGATCTAACAACCACAACAAAAAGGCTGATCCGCAAAAAAATGAGACAAATCGAGACCTCTTTTTTTTTTGTTGCTGTAATCCTCTCCACAGTAATATCCAAACGGCAGTGTCAGATATTTCGAATTACAGGAAAAATTTAGAGAACTTACCACTCTGGTCACACTGCAGCTCAATTCAGATTTTTTTATGACACGTATCTGATTTTTTTCATGCAGTGTGAAACAGTATATTTATTTATTTTTGTACTGAGTTGTGAGCAAAAATTTGAGTAATGAGCACTAGTAGGTGAGCTTCACACCAAGTAGCAGTTTGGCATGATGCAAGTCACCAACTGTTTAATTCTTTACATTTTATTTGATTGCATTGCCTTGAAAAAATATTGACACAACATGTAATTAGATAAAAGAAAATTCCTGTGATAGAATGTCATCTGTTGCAAAACTTGAAAATTGCGGTTCATAGATGCTCTCCATTCAATCAGGCTGCTGTTGAGCAAAAAAGAAGAGGCTACATTTTCACTGTCTATGCACAAAACTTGTCAAGAAATGCCCATTGCATCTGTAATTGCAAAGAAAGGTGGCTCTCCAAACTATTCATGCAGGGTGGGGCTGAATACAGATACACACCACATTTTAAAATTGATAAAACCTATGCATCATTCCCATTCCACTTCACAAATATTGCCCCCAAAAAGAATGCACGATAGAAAATGGTTCACGCCATTCTGAAAACTACCAGTATAGGAAACAACAAACTTGAGAAGAGATAAAGCACAAATTCATTAGTTGAAAAACTTTTTCACAAGCTCAGCCCATACTGGGGAGGATCTTCACAAGGGCAAAAAGAATATAAGAGAACAAGACAAAAACAAGCCAGCAATGCACTGGGTGAACACAAACACGCGATGGTCGGAATGTAAAAAGAGATGTATGAATGCATAGGTGAACCTGATACACATTTCTGTGTGGCAGAAAAAGCACGACAGATTGGTCAGAAAGCGGTCAGGGAACGAGACAGGACAGTAGGAGGACTTTGACCACTGAGATGCTCAACTGATCATGAAGGTCCTGCGGTCGAGTAAAATGCTTTTGTCCATTGTTCTTGCCTAATGAGGGAGTTTCTAATATTCCTTGCTGCATGGTAGTGGTCAAGCTAGAGCAGTGATTCCCAACCAGTGTGCATCACATTACGATGCCGAGAGAGCTCTAACAGTGTGCCGCGGGAAATTATCACATTTTACTTAATTGGTGAGACAATTATTTATTAACCCTTTCATGCACCCCGTAACATGATAAGCTGTCCACTGTAGTAACCGCAGTCCCTGAAAGGGTTAATAACAAATAATTTATCATTATCCATCTATCTATCCCAGCAATTTATATGCTGATGCAACAGAAAGAACAAATAAGTGATCTTCTATTAGATGGAAAAAGTATGAAATTGACATGTATCCTCTTTTTGGGACAATTTTGTGTGGTGGTGTGGCGTGCAATTTTTCAAATTTAAAAAATGTGCCTTGTCCTCAGTAAAGGTTGGGAATCACTGAGCTCGAGGTCTGCGATCTTCTTTTCATTTGGATGGTTAAGATAGACATTACTGCTTCTAGGCTACTAAAAGAAAAGGAATGGCTGTTATAACAGCGGTAAGTTATAGCTGAACTTAAGGGAAATGCACCAGCAGACGTCATAAATACTGTTTAGTAGTGTGTACTGTCACAAAAATAAAATTACGTGTAATCCTGTGGCTTTACTTTGCCGTGGTACATAACTGCATTGCATCACACTGAGAGGTGTTTCTAATAGTCACACCTTTTTATTGAGCTAAATAAGATGACCACAAAAATATTATTTCATGGATTAATTAATACATGAGCATGGTTGGATTTCAGTGCTAAAAATGAAACACTGCATGAAGCTACAAACTTGTACAGAAGCACACAAACCAGTTAACTGGAGTGCAGCTGGTCACATGACATGTTGCCCCACTTTAGTTTACGGTAATTAGTCTGACGCTGTCGACCTACACTACGTACAGTATATGCTATGTACATGCCTTGGTAGAGAATGTTTACAATGCTGAGTTACATCATCAACGCTGAATATATTATGAAGTGTGTGTGTGTGTGTGTGTGTGTGTGTGTGTGTGGTCTTATGCAACCACAAGGAGATTAGTGACAAAACAGGACACAGATGCTCGGGAGCTGGCGAGTCCTGGGATTTGCCCTCCCCCTCCTGCACGTCACTCTTTTAATTTCCCCTCACTTTTCCTCCTCACTTATCACTCGTGTACATAATGCATCAATATCTATTATGGCCCACCTGTATAAAAACACCGGAGAATTCACCTGCCAAATGATGTCATTAGAATGTTTCGAATACAGTTTTGCCAAAGCCGCAAGTGTTGTGACTAATAACGAACAACCGCTGATATAATCACTTATCATCATATTCAGTGTTTGGATAAATAGATCACCTTTTCTCTTTAAAACAAGCTCAATTTCTGTCTATAGCTCTGAACCCTGTCATCACTGATTAACGCCACTCATGAGATGCCCAGCGGTGTGGAAACGGTTGTATAAGACTGATGCAATTAAACATGATTAATTACGAGCATTAAGTTTTAATTGGGAAAAAGCAGAGATCTACATTTGTCAGCTAATATTTGAAAAGTTAAAAGATGGAAGCTACGTGTTAATTGGATGCAACAGATGCAGACAAAGATCCTGGTAAAACTATGCTTCAAAAGTAAAAAAAAAAAAACTATCCATCAAAACCGCTTATTTTCATTCTGACTTTTGGTCAAAGGCCAGTACTGGTCGACAATTGATCACAGGGCTCATAGAGATAAACAACCATTCACATCTTAGAATGTGCAGTAGGTTTATACCAGTCCAGCAGATGAAAATCCGTGATACAGATGGACCACATCAAATATTTTTTCCATATAGTTATATTCCTCCCACAAGCTTCAGACACATTTTACCTTCTTAAAGCACACTCTTTAATTTAAAACCTTCATACCGGGATTTGAAGATGTGGTGACCTACCAACAGTCCAAAATTGCCAAATTTTGGACAGAACCCGGTACAAAGTTAAACACCATTTTAAATGTATTTGAACACACAGCACAAAATGGAAATGCAAATACTCTTTATACTGAAGTATTTGTGTGTTAAGATGTTAAATAGCTGCCTTTGGAAGGTGGGAGAGCGACTGTTCATTACAACAGGATTATCTGCAAACAAATGCTTATTTACCAAGCAAATGCGAAAATAAATAGTATGTAGATCAAAGCACAATGACTAATAACTTGCATGAAAATGACCAAAGAAGACTGCAAAGAAACAGGAACCTTTTTGCTTGGCTGAAAAGGTTGATGGTAATTTTATTAATTGGGCAAAATAGAGCTGTGTCTTTGTTCGAAATAACATGAGAATCAAGTTCCATTTTTCATGAAAAAAAATATTACTACTTAAAAATATTATTATGTTCTTGAAATATTTAATTTCATCATCTTTTCACTTTCTTTTCATAATTTTGTTGTGTGGTCCTATTACTCCTTTGTACCAAATAAACAATCTACAAGAATAGGGGGTGGGAGAGGGACTAAATAATTCCCAAATATGAACACAAATAGAATTGCAAATTGTGAGTCATGCTGACACAAGCTCAGACTGCAGAAGAAAGCTGGAGGCTGTAAGAAAACCAGATTTGTGCACTTGTCTGTTTGTGGTGGTTAACCGTGCAGAGACCTTTCCCGACAGACAAAGTCAAAAGAAGTTAAAAATAAATGAAGCAAATCTGTTTTGCAAATGGAAACAAGACCCGAAGCGCAACAACAGCAAGCGACATCCCCAGAATGTATGCAGGCAACATTTCTGTATGGTTTTGGACGTTCGAGCTTGTCTCATTTTTATTAATCTGCACTGTGGCGTCATTTAGGATCCACCAACAGCTTTATTGTGTATAATCTGACGTGCAGGATTTTTGATGTGATGAAAACACTGGTCCAGATGGTGGCCCAGTGACGGCCAAAACCAAACGCTTTCATGTTGGGATGCGAGCATGTATTTGTTACATTTATGAGAACCTAACAAGCACGTCTGTTTCAAAGCTCTTAATTACAATGCAAACAAAGCCTCAATGTACCCAAGTTCAAGGCCTTAATCCGGTTTTCCGCTAAAAGAGAATCCCCTCTTGATAGACAATCGAGGAAATTAACTTTACCAACAAACTAAGCAAGCGCCGCAGATAAGGCATTTATAATGAATCTTAATTTTGCAATTTTCTTTCCAATCCATCATGCTTTTGGCTCATTTCGCGAGGATCGCTTAACCTGGCTTGTGTGCCTGATGAGAGCGCCAAGGTAACATTAAAACATGTGAATGGCATCAAGAGGGTAAAGTGGGGCAGAGGGAAAGGAGGACAGCAGCTTAAAAGGGTCCGGGAGAGAAAGTGAGAGAGAGGCGAACATGGATGGAGAAGAGACAAAGATAAAAATAAAGTGAGCGTGTGTTATTAATGTGCGCTCTAGTGTGTTTGTGTTTGTTACAAGCACTGGCATTAGTCCCGGCCGCAGGAACGTCCGTGCTGCCAAAGTTTTACTCAGTCCACCTCCATGCCAGGGTCAATACACAAAGGTGGGTGAACACTCACACACACACACACACACACACACACACACACACACACACACACACACACACGAGACACGAGAGGAGATGTCATGGGATGAGACGAGGAAACAAAATTGTTAAAGAAGGTGATAATATACTTATGAGAGGGTAATGATCCATGAGACAAAACCGATAGACAAACACGCAGTGAGACAGCGATGACTGCATTTGTAGCAGTGACAGATCAACATGACGATAGAGTGGTAGAGAGGAGCAGTGAGAGAGAGGCAAAGAGAGCGAGAGGGAGAGAGAGCGAGGGAGGGTGTGGGGAGGGTGGATCACTGCAAGCATGTGAGGATCAAGAGCAACAGAACGCAAAGGGGAGAGCAAAAGAGAGCGCCAAAGACTCGCAGAGGACTAAAGGATTATTAGAGATGTGAGCAAACAGACGAGGGGACAATCAAGGGACTAGAAAAGACGAGGAAAACATCAAGTAAGTGTCTTTGTGTATGTACTGATTGTGTGCTGATGTGCAAATAGATGTGCAACTAGTCTTATGAGCCTCAGTGGACAATCTTTGCAGTTTACGGTGAGCACTTTGCGTCCAGCTCATTGTGGACCTACGACCAGGTATTTGAATGGGGGTGATGGCGACTGTATGCAAACAGGCGGCGCAGGTCCAACGGGACTAATGGAGCACTAAAACAAACAAGCAAACAACATCAAACTCTACTGAGAGCGCATTTTTCTACACAGCTTTGCAGGTGTGACAGCTGTGCATCTCTCTATGTGATTTTTCTTCAAGAAGTAACAGTTACACGGTCACGGGCATCAAATGCGTTCAAGTTACCTTTTTTGCATTTCTGTATTCGTGACAATTCACACTTTTACATCCTCCAAATCCAGATGTTTCCACGACGTGTGTGAGCAAAAGAGGCAGAGCGGCTCAGCTGATTGCTATTTAAAGCCCATGTGCCAATCGTTCTAATATGGGATTATATTGCAGGCAATAACCCTCCTCTCATATACTAATGCTGGCCCTGTGGTGCAGGCGGAAAGATGAGAGTCACAAAGTCAGCTTGCATGCATTGATACAGGAAAAAGACGAGACTATAGAAGCGGTTCATTTCTGTCCCTCAGGTTACATTCTGCACTGGTGTACTCCTTTGGGGCTAATTATTGGAAGCAGTGTGGACCCACACCGCCTAAAAGTTGTCAAGGGTTCAAAAGTGTTATTGGTGGAATCGCTGAAGTTAAACGTAAGCTGCTGTTTGACATACTGTTTGTTGGGGCCTTTCCGTGGAAAATAATGAAAATGGAAATCATTGGCTCTGGGGTTAAACTGCAACCATGATAAAGCTTTTATGAAGCCAGTATTGAGTAACCGGTGACTGAGTGGGGTGCCATATTTCAAAATGTCACCCTACTGTAAAAAGAAGTTAAACAAGTGTGGTACACAAACCGACTTTTAAAATGTGAGTGACTCTGAAAATGATGAGAAAAAAAAAAAAAAAGACGCACTATTCTTTGTTGTGTGGTGTACGCACACAAAGCGATATATCCACAACAATCAGAGTCTCCTCCTCCAAAACGTTGCGGTGCCAAGACTGACCTGTGAGGGGCAATCCGACTGCCTGAGAATACAAAGAGGAAGAACAAGTAGAATAATCGAGGCCAGTGGTTCTTCACCTTGTTTGAGCTACCGAACCCAGTTCACATGCACATTCACTTCATTGGTGAAAAATAAAAAATATGATTTATTACAAATTCAAGACATTAAAAATGCATTTATTAAAAACTGAAAAAAAAGTAAATACAATTTCAAGACATAAGTAGTTTTGTTTATTTAATTGTATGGCAGAGGCTCCGTCGAACCCCTGAGACCGATTCACACCGAACCCCTAGGGTTCGATCGAATCCAGGTTAAGAACCACTGATCTAGGCTAACAGTTAGTCTATCGGGTAACTTGCTACTACAAACTAATTTTCTTCTGATTTTTATTGGGAGACATGACTTGGTGGCATGTTTTACCAAACTCAACACAAGCTTCTCTCCCTCTTTTTTTTTTTTTTTTTTTGTGGGGCAACAGTGGAAGGCCCAGGTTGCTTCCTACTCTGCTGTCATTTTCTTCATTTCCTTCATTTCTTCAATGTCTCAGTCAGGTGTAGACCGCACACAAAGATTTGTTCATCATAAATACTGAATAGGTTAAACATTTACAATTGCCAGCGTCAGACATTTTTCTGAGCTGAGATCATCGCAATTTGTGTTTTCATGTAAAAATCACTCAACACAGCCATCAACCACAGGATAATCAGCTAAGATAATCTTTTCAGAGACATGTAAGAATTGATGCTTGGCTGACTTCGGTTACAACAGAAGGAAAATGTGAACTTTTGGCTTGATTGTCGGTAAGTGAACGTGATGTGAATATACAACCTCAAAGGAATGAAATGTCTGACTTTGTGGGTCTACTGTACTCCCCCAATGGGAAACAGGATGAAGAGACATGAGGAAGACTATCAGGTTGATGATGGAGAGCTTTGAGGCAACGTGCAGACAGGATGAGTGATAAGTCAGAGCGATGATAAGATGTGGGAGTGGGAGAAAAGAGCAGAGCATGTGGAAAGGCGTGAGCTGAAACATGAGGTGAAATAAGCAAAATTGCTGGAGCAAGAGAGGTCAACTTCAATAAAGACACACAAAGTCTTATAGTCGTCCTCATTTGATCAAGTGACCACAAGAAACAAGTGCAGTCCGAGCAACAGCAGCACAAATAAATTCCAATGGTGGGCAGAATTGTCAATAATTGACATCCCTTAAATGTTTCCCTCGTTCTCTGCGTGTTTAGGTAGCTAATGACTCATAAAAAGTGTCATTCATAAATCAAAAGAAGACAAGGCTTTTCCTTCCTGTGACTGGAAGGCCACATCACCATGAATTACATCCTGTTTATCATACCATTGAGAAGGAAAAGCTGGAAATACCCATTGCTGAAACAGATGACAGGAATTTCCACTAAAAGTTGAAATAACTGACTTTCCTCCATTATTTATAAGGACAGAAGCAGATTTTTTTTGGTTGGTTGGCCACTGGCCAGAGGAACACAACACCTCAATGAAGATTCACCAGGGCTGACTGTCTTCTATCACATGCACAGTCAGAGTGATCAATTCCAACATCCATTTTGCATTCTACAATGACAGAATAGTCTGTTATTTCTTCACAATTCCAAAGTTGGACTAAAAGTACAGAGTTTGAGAGATGTTGAATGTTCTTTACTTCTAGCAGATTATTTTAGAGTTTGCATTCAGATCAACTGTACAATTGTTCATTACATATGCATTTCTTAAAAAAAAAAAAAAAAAAGGACAGTATCAAGGGGGCTAAGAAAACTGAATTCATTTGAAAATAGAAAAATCAGGGAATGGCCTTGGCCACCGCTGGCCACCTTGTAGCTCCGCCCCTGATTATATATAGCGCTCGTCTTCATCACGGTGAGCTGGAGGCAGGGTACACCCTAGACTGGTCTCCAGTACATATTTAGTACGCTTTCACACTGAAGGTGGCAACAAATGTTAAGCCTGGACAGTTTGCAGTTTAATCGGAAAAAGAAAACTGAACTTTAATTTTGATGTTGATTTGGGCTTTTCATGTTCATGAATACATTCTAATCAAGGAACAACGGTTAATGTGCTGAATGGTATCGTACGTGTTAAAAAATTCCTGTATTGCACACGCACAGTGAGCGTGCTGTTACTTGACTCACGCATGAAACGTGTTTTTCTGCCTTCCCTGAGCGTGCTGTTTAATCAGATCCCAGTTGGAGCTTACTGGAAAACTAAAACCACAACTAAAATACCAACACACATTCTATATTTCCATAAATACAAGAAAGAGGCCTACTTTGTTTTAGAATCATTACCAGTTGAGTTTTTGGAACGCATCAGGTTTTCATAGTATAATCATCATCATCATCATCATCATCTGTGATTAAATTAGTAATATTTAGGAATTCAGCGTTACGTTCATTAGCAGGCGGAATTTCCTTCTAAAACGCCCGGGGTATAAATTTCAACATATCGTAAAATCTGGATTGTGCAAAATTTTAGAGGTCAAACTTAAAAACACCACCAAAAAAAAAGTCTCAAACACATGACGTGCATAAAATAAATGCAAAGACATTTTTGAAATCAGCATCAAAAAAACAGATAAAGCTATCTCTGATAAAAACTTGCTCTTCATCAATGTAATTGTGTTTATTCATTGTGATTACAATCAAAATAATCATGATTATTACTTTTTCCATAATCGCCTCCTCCCACCACCAAGATTCAATTAAAAAATGCATTATATTAATTGCGTATCACGCTTGATTATAGTCCTGTGATTGGATGCCGACCAGTCCAACGTGTACCTTGACTCTCGCCTGAAGTCAACTGGGGTAGAATTCATCTCTGCTATATCCTTAATGAAGATAAGTGCAAAATAAAATGGATGCATGCATGCACTTTAAATTATATTTTGGAACTCCACCTTGATAAGAATCCAAACATCGAGATTCTTCCTTAACCCGTGCTTATATCCCACCACAAATGTTCTCTAACATCAGTCATTGTTGTGTAGTACAAGTCACACAAAAACACACACAACCAAACAATACAATAGAAAAAAACCGCCACAGCAGCTGCAGCCTGTAACAAAGATAAAGCTACGTGGAAAAATATAATTTAACTCTCACAAGTGAAACAAAGAGAGTGAGAAAAATTGGAATGTAAATTCATCATGAAGCCTCAAATTACATTTGCTATTACCGGAGTGGATTTTGAATGTGTGGATGTAATGTTTTACCTTGCCGGCTGACTTGAAAAAGAAAAAAAGGAAAGGGTTCATTCTGACTCGTGCTGCTTCGGTGGGAACTTTTGGGTTTAATTGGGCCGGCCCGGGCTGCCATGTTTGTCTTTTTGCACGATTTGGAGATTAGCTTTGGTGACATCTGGCTCTTCAGCCGAGAAGCTGATTAAAGCGCATTGTCCCTTAAAATTATAGCTGCATCCAATTAAAGCGAACAGCAAAAAGGAGTGAGGAAGAAAACAGCCGGCTTGGTTTTCCGCTCGTTATCTTTTTGCTCATGCTTACTTTTTCTGAGGTGCAGGCATAAATGTCGCATCATGACACTTTCGATGAAATGTTGAAAAAGATAACGATGCCGATCAGGGAGAAGACCTAAATCTGCAAAATCACAATATTCAATTCTCAGCAGAAATGAATGCAATTTAATGGGTAAGGGGTAAAAATGGCAAAAAAAGCAGAAATAAAAGAGAAACATCTTCGTACTTTCCCACAAACATGCATGCATCTAATGTTAAAATATTTATTATCATATTTAGTTCTGTATCTGTTGTCAGCAATATGCTCAGCTTGTCTTTGACGACAAAACAATCATCACATGCCTCTTGAATGTATTTGAAAAGAATTGCAGACAGACAAGG